CGATGCAATTGGTATTGATTAATGAATGAGGTTTATTTAAAAAAAAATATGCAAAATCTATTGACATTGTTGAAAGACTGAAAGAACCTTCATACCGCTGATAGAATCGCTTAACCCAAAGAAAATTCTAAGTCGACAAATAATGAAACAACGGATTTCACCTAGTAATAATTTAAAAACCCAAAAATAAAAAATAAAAAATCCACAAACTTTGTAATTTATGTGGCAAAAATGTATATTTCTTTCGGTATATTATTTGATGTTTTTCTTGGAATCATTTGTCATAATTTTCTCATTCAATTTCTACCACCGAACTACTTTGCCTATGATGAGTGATTTATTTAGTTATTATTTTATAGTTAATTACACATTGTTGATTAGTTGTTATTGTTGATCTAGGTATTTTTATTCATTTTCTATGTAAAATTTTAATTTTTGGAAACAACTCTAAAAAGGTGAAGTTCTACAGTTTTTATTTTCTGGATTCAAGGCTGGAGTAGTAGGCATGACTTGGGGTATGAAAGTGTCTGACCCTCTCAGGTAAGCTTAAAACATATCTCGAATTAGCTTTGTTCTTGTTTTCTTATTTTTCTGAAGTCTTTTTTTCATTTCGTTCTTACTTTTCAAGATTTTGTTTTTACTTTCTTTAAAGTATGCTAAGTATGATTTCTATTATGCCTAGCTAATTTTTCAATAAGCCAAAGGCTAAAGAAATGACCCAATTTCGAGCGTGAGAATTGAAAAGCACTTAATACCGTTGGGTTAAATTCAATTGGCCTTTCCTTTAAAAATCAAAACACTTTCATTTCAAAAAGTTCACATTGGCTTAGATGTTGTTAAGATCTAACGTTTGGAGGAAGAATCAGCTGGGAGCAAGTTCGACATCCTGGGAACTCACTTAGTGGTGGTCTGCTAAGGAAAATTGAGATCGGATTTGATTCTCATTGAGACAACATAGTCTAAGTTGAGTTTTTCCAAATATTAAAATTGAATTGGCGCTGGCGATGATAGTCGTGATCCATATTTATTTTGTAAATCTTGTGAAAGATGTCAGTGCACAAGTAATTTGAGTCTAAGAAAGGAAATATCTCTTAACCCGATTCACATATTTGAAATCTTCGATGTTTGAGGAATTCACTATATGGGTTTATTCGTTTATTCTTTTGGAAATAAATACATTATTCTTGTTGTAGATTATGTTTTGAAATGGGTTGAAGCTAAAGCTACCCGAAATAATGATGCAAAACTACCATTGATTTTCTGAAATTTTTTTTATCTTTTCCATATTCGACACACCACGAGCAATAATAAGTGATAGAGGAACACACTTCATCAATCAGATAATCGAAGTGCTTATGAAGAATTAGAGATGTTTTGCTTATTGCCGAATGAGTTTAACTTCGAATAGACTTAAGTTTAGTTAGTTTGTCACGTTAATATATGTATTTCACATTATAGAATATATGTCATGTGATAATAATATTTTTTAAAAATATTAAAATTAATCAAATACTTTTTCTGATATAACCATCAGTTTCTAATCTATTGATCAACTAATTCGGATCGGGTACTATAAAGGCGAGAGTGACCCTCGCAACTTAGTTTGCTTCATTCACAATAATCAGGGTTCAAAGCTCTATTCTTGTTTAAGGATATAGTGTATCATCTCCTAGACGAATCGGTTATTGGTAAATTAATCAAATAATTTAATTAATATTCATCTTAATTTAGAATTTTAATTAATTTTTTTTAAAGTTGAAACGAATAAAATTTTCTACCTCACCAATAGTTTAAAGCCATGTGTATTAATAAATATGATTTAACTTCTGTTTGCCGTTAGGTTACTTGTATTCTAACTTCTTTTTTTTGGTAGTCGGTTGGTCGTCTCCTTCACCTTGATCTAGGCCTGTAAATGAACTGAACGTTCAGCGAACCGTTCATGAACCGTGCAGCGGGAAGTTTTTTTATGTGTGTTTATTTATTAAATGAACGAACATGAACAAGATTTTGTGTTCGTTTAATTAAATGAACGAACATGAACATATGTTTCGTTCGTTCATTTACGTTCGTGAACGTTCGGTTATGTTCGTTATGTTCGTTCGGTTATGTTCGTTTATGTTCGTTCATTTATGTTTAACCCAATCTTCTTAAATCAATTTTGGTGACCAATTTGTAAGTATCTTAAAAATATTAATTAATCTGATATTCTGATGACCAACTCCATAATTAACCCAATTTTATTTGGAGATTAAATCCAATATGTTAACCCGTGAGGCACCTCACACCTATATTCATTCCCCTCTTTTTTTCCCAAACACTAGTGTTCACTAGAGAGTGGAGACGATCGGTGAAAGCTTCAAAACAAGTTATATTATAGTGCAATCTGAAGTTTTACAGGTCTGTTTTCATCTCTTTATGTGTTTTATTTGGCTTAATAGTTGATATGTAAAGTTATTGTGGGTATCTTCACATCTAAAACTCAAGAAAACATCATACTTCTTTCTAGAAATAGATGAGAATATAAAGGTAACAATCGAAAGTATATGAGCATCAATAAAGAGAAAAATATATAGAATTTGCCAAAAGACAAAACAAAGGCTTCTATGCAATTTCTGAAAAAGAGTGTAATAGCGGAAGTAATGGGTTTTCCAGGAAGAACACATTAATAAGTATAAAATACACTTTGACAATGAACTTTTGTTTTCATAGTTCTTCTGTGACTTTTAGTTGTGGAGTAGACTTTAGGTACGTTAAAATTTTGAATGGTGGTTTAGCAATAATATCAGTTAGATATGTAGCATCAGACCGTTCGAACGTTTCATGCTGTTAAATTTTCTACTCTGCCAATGGAAATAATCATTATTAACAAATCTCACTAAAGTCTGACATTGATGTCACAAAACTTTTAGCCGGCGAATATATTTGAATAACTTAATGGAAAATGATTGTTCATATGTAATCGTGGACCACTAAGATAAATGTTATAGCGTTAAATTAAAGTTGTGTGAATCATTTAATATCTTTAAAAGATCGATTGAAATATCTGATATCTTCAAACATTTCATCACTGCTAATCAGCTCTTACGCTATTTATCACTGTAGATTTGGTTGATTTGCATTGTCGACTATTTTTCATGAAAGAACAATAGAAGGTAGGGTCTCCAACGTTTATGTTCGTGTTCGTTTATGTTCGTGTTCGTTTATGTTCGTGTTCGTTTATGTTCGTTTATTTATTAAATGAACGAGCATGAACAAACTATATTCCTTAATGAACGAACATGAACAAAAAAAATTTGTTCGTTTATGTTTGTTTATTTATTAAATGAACGAACATAAACGAACATGAACATACCTCCATTCGTGTGCGTTCGGTTCGTTTACAGGCCTACCCTGATCTAGAGATTTAAAATTCGAGTGATTTTGGTAGCAAACAATAACATATAGAATAGGTCAAATACACACTCATTCTATCAACACAACGAAAATAGTAAACCATTTTAAGTCCTTTCTTTACCATCATTTATTCATCAAAAATGTTTTAAAAAAGAAGAATTGGGTTTTTATTTTTGGTTACTTACATGCGAGTGTTGCATGTAAGGAGGACAAAGGATTGAACCTGGATATGCAAGAACCTGATTTAACACATCGCTTCATGGAACATTGATGTTGTATCTATTTGCAACATCGTCAAACTCCCATAATTATCACATAACATTCATTTTCAGACTAATATGCGTAAAGCAACCTCTATATGACCAATGGGGATTCTCAACCTTGGATTTTTTTGCTGGTTCTTCGACTTGCAAGTTGAGCGTCAACAAGGGCGCTCGTGCACTGTGCCGATTATCTATCATCATTCCTCTTTGAGTCTTAAAAAAGACTAACGACAAAATTAGTTAAATAATATTCATTAATACACATGGCATTAAACTATTGGTGGGCATATATAGAGACATATAAATGGGACAGAAGATTTGTGTTCGGTTGGAACCTTCAAACATTGTTTAAGTGTTTTTTTAAAGGTACTTACTCCATATTAATTTTTTTTTTAAAGTTATTTTTAAAGGATGCGTATGTCTTCAACTCCGAATGGATTCGACCTTTTATAAATACCCGGACTATTGAGATGGTTTCTCTGGAGCAATCTCTCCAAATTTTGTAGCTTCATTTTACAGTGGCCCATCTAAAATAACTTTTGGGCCATAATTCCAACTTCAATCTCAAAATTGGCAAGATTGACCTAATACCGCATGTTGACTAATTATTTAGTCTAATATAACATCAAATAAATTATTTAAGGATCTACATCAAATTTTATAGTAGGAAAACTTGTTACGTGGACTACGATATGAAGAATTTGAATAAAAAATATTTTTTATTCAAAATTTTTATTTTGATCTGATAAATTTTAATAAAAAATTATATTTTATTTGAATTTGTCACATTAATATGACAAGTTTTTCTTACACTACAATATTTACTATAAATCCCAAAATAATTTTAAAAATGATGTAATGTACTAAATTTTTTTAACCCACTTACCTAAATGAGTAAATTCCGCCCTCAAAATTGGTAGTTCTCATGCCCAAGATTTAGGTCAAAAGACCTTTGCCGCCTTAACGTAAGGAGCGAAGCCGTGAGGATCCCATTTCCATTGCACGATGCAGCTACGAACACAATCGTCAATCATTCATATAAAAATATAATAATATTTGAACATGAATACAAAACTTTCTGGTAGGAACTAGCAACGGCCTTTTGAACCCTTCTAGGGACCCACCTTTCCGGTGTGGGATCCACCATCCATGATCCATCCATCACCCTCAAGCTGAAGCCACATGTTTCTGTTTAGTTCGCGGGCAAAACTGTAGAACCTCCATTTCCCACCCTCCACCACCCCATCAACGTCGCCATTCTCTCCTTTTCCAAAACTCACTTTTTCCTTCTATCATTTTCTTCCTCCGGTCTTTGCCTATTCTTTAGAACCTCCTTCCTGATACTCAAATTTTCATTTTCCCAAAGAGGAAAAAAATAAATAAATGAGCCTCTATTCCAGTTACACCACCAGCCTCCGTCTAACGCCCAACCGCTCCAACGACTTCTTCTTTTGCTCCCCACAAAGCACTTTCCGCATCCGCGAATTTCGCGTTTTCAGACGACGACGCCGTTTCAAGCTTTCCCGCTCCAACCCCGCTCTCCAAAGCCAATTCAATTTCTCTTTCGATAACAACCTTTTCCAGAACCTTTCCTCCCTCGATTTTCTTGCTCCGGTTTTGAGTCTAACTTCCGGCCTCGCTCTTTATTTGTCGTCGCGGTTGAATTTAGCATCCGGAGATCGAAACAATGCCTGCGAAATTGGGGAGTGGGTTCTGTTCACCAGTCCGGCACCGTTTAATCGCTTCGTCGTCCTCGGATGCCCCTCCATATCCTCCGAAGGGAGTGAGCTGAGGGACGATGTGAACGAGAGGCTGGTGAAGGAAGATAGACATTTCGTGAGGCTAGATAGCGGGAGGATGATACGGGCGAGTAGAAACAGAGGAGAGGAGCCGAGTGAGTTGGAATACCAGAGAGTTTGTATAAACACGGAGGATGGGGGTGTCGTTTCAATTGATTGGCCGGCGAATTTAGACTTGAGCAAAGAACATGGATTGGACACGACGGTTCTGGTGGTCCCGGGAACGGCGGAGGGTAGTATGGACAAGAAGGTCAAGGCGTTTGTTAAGGACGCTGTTTTTTGTGGGTTCTTTCCGGTTGTTATGAATCCTAGAGGTTGCGCTAGCTCACCACTCACCACTCCGCGGTATGTTGTTGAGTTCTGGAAGTGAAATCTGTTACTTTTTTAGTGAGTATATTTCTTTACTTCTTCTGTTTATTGTCATATGTTTAAAATGTTTGTAATATGTTTGTAATATAAGTTAGGTGCTCTTATTACCTGGAAGTTTATTGAAAAGCCATTTGGAATTACGCCTACTTAACGACTTTATTTATGTAGGTTGTTTGCAGCTGCTGACTGTGATGATATCTCCACAATTATACAGTTCATCAGCAAGGCAAGACCATGGAATGCACTAATGGGTGTTGGCTGGGGATATGGTGCAAACATGTTGACAAAATACTTGGCAGAAGTTGGTGAGAAAACACCTTTGACAGCTGCTACTTGTATAGACAATCCTTTTGATTTGGAGGAGGCCACAAGATCAACTCCTTATCAAATCGCTTTAAATGAAAACCTCACTGGTGGGCTTATAGATATTCTACGATCTAATAAGGTTGGTTATCGCTTCAAACTTTGTAGCTTTTCATTCAAAATCGCTTGAAGCCTTTTGTGTTTAGGTATACTTCATTATACATTGACCATTCAGTACTAATTCATTTGATTCATGAATGATCTAGGAGCTATTTCAAGGCCGGGCAAAAGGGTTTGATGTGGAAAAGGCTTTATCGGCCAAATCTGTTCGTGACTTTGATGAGGCAATATCTATGATCTCTTATGGATTTGAGGACATCGAAGACTTTTACTCCAAATCTAGTTCGCGAAGCTTAGTTCGCAATGTGAAGATTCCTGTTCTTTTTATACAGGTACCTTCTAGAACTTCTGATGCCAATGCTATATCACTTTTGAGGTACATAATATACATGTCAAATTTCCGATTATTGCATTATTGCTTCAAAAAACTCATTTGTAAATGCTGAAAACTGACCTTGTTAAGTTTACCTAGTTTGATGGAAAATACTGACCAAAGGTATTGTAATCTTGCCTTCTCGTTTGGGATGATATATTTTAGGACTTGCCTTGCAATAGATTGTAACTTGTATTTTTTCTGTTTCTGTCCTCTGCATGTTTGTACAGTGGTTCAGAACCCAACTCCCCCTTTGGGAAAGGAGGAAACATAGATTTGATTGCAGAGTGATGATTACAAACTGATTTTTTACAAACTTTTCTTTTTACAGAGTGATGATGGATCAGTTCCACTGTTCTCCATTCCACGTGGTTTGATTGCAGAAAATCCTTTTACCAGCCTACTTCTATGTTCTTGTTCTTCGTATAGAGGTACAGTATCTTGGTGCCAGCATCTTACTATTGAGGTAGTGTCTTCATCTTCTCTCTTCTCATTGGTGGTCCTTCACTCATTTGTATTTTGAACCCTGAACAATTAAAGTCATACAAAATTTACTTCATATTTCATGATAAAATGTTTCCATTTGCCAACTATATCCTGGTTATTGAAAGTTGTGCTAACTGGACTGGAGTGACATGTTCTGCAGCTTATGTCATCAAACTTGATAAAGTTTCCTCATGAATGTTGCAATTGGTTTTCCTCATTATTATCATTTGGTTTATATAGTGGCTTACTGCAGTGGAGCTTGGACTCCTAAAGGGCCGTCATCCTCTTCTAAAAGATGTTGATGTCGCCATCAGTCCCTCAAAAGGCGTAGCTTTTACGGAAGGTACGTTGACTGGTAAAGGAAGAAACACTAAGATGCTTTTGGATCTTTCTAGATCAAATTCTATAAATGGCTATTCTGTTGGTCCTACAAGAGACGTGTTAGAAGATGGTAGTACAACTGCTAGTATGCACCTACAGTCCGGACAAGATTCACTCAGAGATGTGTCAGCACAGACCAACCCTCATGAAGGAGAGCTGGTCAGAGAGGAAGCCGTACCTGAAGATGAGGAAATAGGGCAAGTTTTAAAAACTGCACAATTAGTTATGAATATGCTTGATGTGACTATGCCCGGAACTTTGAAAGAAGCAGAGAAGCAGAAGGTAGGACTTATAAACATAGCAGTTTCTTTTTTTTCATTCTGGATTTAAAAAAATGTTACTACATATTCATCAATATCTAGCCTTCAGTTTGTTGTAGTTTGCATCAAGTATAATCTGAATTTTGAACCATCAAAATGATAAGCTAATGTTAAAGGACGGCTTCTGCATGTGTGCTTGTGGGAAGGAAATATGTAAACTGTACAAGTTTTGTGATTATTTCTTGTCTTTGTTTGACTTTCTTTAATCAGTTTATGATTTTCCTCATGGTCTGTTGGTATCCATATTTGTTTTCCCTTTAGAAGTATTTTATGTAAAATTTTGCTTATATTATGTTATTTCCGATTTTTTATTATTTTCTGGTGTCATGCTTGGTTACTAAGTGTCAATTCTAATCTGGTATGACTAAGAATTTGGAGATATGAACTTTAGGTATTAAGAATTTGGAGATATGAACTTTAGGTATTAAGAATTTGGAGATATGAACTTTAGGTATTAAGAATTTGAGACTTAAAATATAGTTTTGTTAAATGATCTGAGTATATACATCCAGGTATTGGCTGCTGTTAATCAAGGAGAAACAGTTATGAAAGCTTTGCAAGATGTTGTTCCAGAAGATGTTCGTGAAAAACTCATGGAAACTGTATCCGTAATTATGCATTCTCAAGGCACGAACTTAAAACAAGGTATTGAATGGATTCCCAAAATGCAAACAGGGTTTGAGTCAAAAGTCCAACAAAGTGCCAGTAAAGCTCATTCTACAGATGAGATAAAAAGAGCTCAGGATTTGGCAAATGGGACAGTAGCAATCAAGTTGGGTCGGAGAAAGCTACTGCTGGACAAGGAACAGAATCTCAGCCTTCAGACAATATACAAAAGTCTGGGGATGTAAGTCAATCTCAATCAGCAGGTGGAAATCGCAGTGATATGTCTTCTTCAGTCAAGAAGGATACAAATGGGACTGATACCAATCAAGTTGGCACGGAGAAAGCTACTGCTGGACAGGGATCAGAATCTCAGCCTTCAGGCAATATGCAAATGTCTGGGTCTCAACCAGCAAGTTGGGATCACAGTGATATTTCTTCTTCAGTCAAGAAGGATACAAATGAATCAGGAAAAATTAATGAAAGTGATGCTCTCAATAAGGAAAAGGCTTCTCTACATGCTGACTTGATTGAACCAGGATCAGAAACTAGTGCTAAGCCTAATTTGACTACCCAAGCAGAGAAGGAAGGTAGCACGAACGAAATACTTAGTGGTGAATCCAAAGCGGACGAAGATGGTGGAGGCCAAACTGAAACGAAGGATGATAATAATTCCCAGCAAAAGGAAGAAAAAGTCGTGGATTCTTTGACTGACCAGAATAAAGTGGCATCTGCAGGATCTTCTGAAACCAAACCAGAGGAAGGGGAAAGGAATGATGATCAGAAAAAAGATCTGCAACGTTCAACCGATCAAAATAAGCCCTCCATCACTGATTCCAATACTAAATCCTTCAGTGTTTCTCAAGCATTAGAGGCTCTGACAGGGATGGATGATTCCACCCAAGTGGCTGTTAACAGTGTGTTTGGCATGATAGAAAATATGATTGATCAATTTGAGGAAAAAGAAAATGATTCTAACGTTGGACACAAGGTCAGGACTGAGAATATTGAATCTCTGCCTGAGACGCAAGATACATCTGAAAAAGAAGAGGGCAGTGAAAATGATAGCAAATTAAGAGAAACAGAAGGCATGAAAAATAACCCGAGTATGATTTCTGATAGATTATATGATCCTCCCACACATAATGGCAATGGCACAGCCTTGGAGGATGACTCAACTAGTGAATGGCTGCAGAAGGAATCCCCACAAAGTGCAGCAGCCTTTGCCACAAAGTGCTGCATTTTTAGGTCAATAGTTGTGTATCCGTGCCTGTCTGCATATTCAATCTTTGTGATTCTCGCACTCTGTGGGAGTGTTATGTAAATATTTGTAATTGCATGAGGGGAGATTTGAAGCAAAAAAGAACAATGAAGATATTGTGGCAACATTATCGTCGTCATTATGTATAGTTTACGCTACAATGTCCCGTTAAAAATGCCCTCCGAGCACAAGAGAAGCATGGCGACTGTATAACAGTGTACAGTTTGTAAGTTTAGAAAGGTCAATCTTGTAAAGGTATATAGCAATAATATAATACGTATACCAGTGGTTCCCTTTTTCTGTGTACAGTTTGTAAGTTTAAAGTATGTTTTTATCAAATAAAAAACAGAATTAAGAGAAGAAGATGAAACATGAAAGAGAAGACATAATTTGTTGCTTGAATTGAGGGGCGCAAAATGCCATGTTCAAACAATGCCGGCAGAAAGAAAAAAAATGAAATACAATTCAAGTTCGAAAACAACAATTATTATTCTCCACAAAAGAAGCCGCCCATTGTTGTTCCTCTCCTTCAGTTTACTCCTCTGCCAAAGGAACTGATTCAGCCTGTAACAATCACAATCCCGTAGCAATATAGTTAAAACAAGAGAACTTGAAGAAACAAACACAAATGGGGATGTGAATGAGAAAATTACCAGCTTGCTGTACTTTAGAGCGTAGAACATCTCGAGATAACGGCGGCTCTCACGGCGTTCAAGGTTGGAGACATGCTTCCAGAATCCGTACACTCCGGTGAGGGTCAATAGTCTCTCGGAGTAGATCTTCCATGTGTATCTGATTTTTCCAACCGTTTGTATTTTGTTAGAACAAGCTTAAAACGTATGCACAAATATGAAAAGTAAAACAAAATTTATGGGAGCTTACTTCTCCTCGATACGTTTCAAGCCTCCTTGTGAGATCTTGTCCCAGTGAGATGGATCTTCCTTGCACTTGTCGAAGAAATTGACTAGTATCTCAGCGGCTTGATCACCGTGGTATGGATCAATGTTGAAACCAGATTTACCGTGGACAATAATCTCAGCCGGTCCACCATTGCAAGTTGCAAAAGTTGGCAAACCGCAAGTCATTGCCTCCACAACGGTCAACCCAAAAGCTTCATACAATGCAGGTTGTACAAATGCACCTTTGGTGTCGCAGATGTAACGGTAAAGTTCTCCATTACGGATACGGTTCATTTGGGATGATATCCATCTGAATTGGCCGTTTAAGTTGTACTTTTCGATCAGCTCGAACATCTTCTTCATTTCAGCTTTCTCTTCCAAATCTTTTGATTCCTTTCGCCTGTCTCCACCTACAACTACAAGGTTAACCAACTCTCGCAACTTTGCATTCTTGCCATACCATTCTACAATTCCGGTTAAATTCTTGACGCGATCCAGCCTAGCCATTGTAAACAGAATTGGCTTGTTGCGGTCATTGAGCACACACCTGTCGGATAATCATGGACAAAATGTTAGATCAGACAACATATATTTTAGTAATCTGATTTTCTAGCGGAAAACTTGCACTTACAGGTGTTCTTCATTCTCAACTTTGCTGTAAAGAAGGTCTTCGATCTCGGGGTGGAAATGCTTCAACCTCCTCTTCTCCTCGGTGTAAGGGAAGTATATCTCCATATCAGCACCGGGGGAGACAATGTTGAATTTGGGATCAAACACATCGATACCATGTACAACACGGTAGAGACCTGGAAGAGTGAAAGCAGTGTGGCTCTCGTATTGACCAACAGTGTCCTTGCTGGAAATCATTACAGAATTATATCGAGTTAATGATCTTTATATGACAAGTTAGAGAACGGGATTTCGAGAAAATATAAAATCAAATACTTAGAACACAAATCATCTATGTATACCTTCCTGCAATTTCCTGGAAAGTACTGGTGATTATGAAATCTGTATGGTTCATGGCGAAAAGATCAGCTGTAAATTGGCAGGAGAAATGGTATTTGTCTTCAAGTTTCTTCCAGTAGATATCTGAATCTGGATATTTTGTCTTCTCCAATGCATGGGCAATGGTACACTACACAAAGGTGAAAAACCAAGTCATTGTACCGAAATGTGATCGAATATACGAGGACATATAAGATCCTATGATCGAATATACGAGGACATATAAGATCCTAGTTAATTAGTTTCTCACAAACCTGTGTGACACCCAATTTATGTGCGAGCAAGGAGGCGACGATATTGCCATCACTGTAGTTTCCAACTATCAGATCTGGCTTGCCTTGCAATTCTTTGGAAATTTCATGAGCAACGTCCTATGAAACAAACAGATTTACTTGTAAATAAAACAAATGTGATCTACCATCATAGAAATGGACATGAGAAGATCAATGGTTCAAGTGGTTCACCTCGGTGTAAGTTTCCAAGTATGGCCAGACTTCGAATCTTGAGATCCATTTACGCACAATTCCCTTCTCTGTTCTGAAGGGTATTCGAAGAATATCTGAGTGCTCTGTTCCGTATACTTTCTCAAGTCGTTGACCGCAAGTTGTTCCGACTGCATCAGGAAGAAGTCTAGTAATCTGAAAAAGAAACAAAGACATTAGCATACAAGATGGCCAAATCATATACAGAAGAAACAAATTATTAAAACTACTAGCAGTAACCAAGAGTCTCACAATGAGGATACGAGGGGTGATGTTGAGTCCTTGCTGCTTGATACGGAGGAGCATTTCATTCTCCAAAGCTCGGACTTGATCCAAGATATAAACAACCTGGCCACCGGTGTCAGGGTACCCCAAAACATTGTCTTGAGCAAAGTATCCGTGGGGAGTAAGAATCACAACATTGAACACCATGGGGATCCTCCCAAGGAACTTCTCAAGGGTGCAAGGATCAGGTGCCTCAAGAAGATCCAAAAAGAGTTGGATCATCTCGAGCACGCGTTCAGCAGTGTCACCCCAACCTCTCTCCAAGCCGATTTCCTGGAACCTGTGCTCGAATTCGGCATACGGTGTCTCGGCAGGCACTGTACCAAGATACTCCTCTGCCTTCCTCAGAACATGTTGGAGAGCATTCAGGTTCTGAATTCTGTCATTCAACATCATGTTCTGCAAACAAAGAAAGCCAACGAAAACCCTCAGTATTTTAAACCCACAAAAACAAATAGCCTATATTATGAATCTACTAAATCTAAGTATCAACCTGTAAGGAAATCTATGTCTGATCTATACACTGACAACAAATTTGACTGATGTTTTTATGGGGCATACCTTGCCCTTGTGGCAGTGGACTCTGAGGAATTCAAGCAAAGGGTGCATGCTCTCTCTGTCATGGAACAATTTTGCCGAAAGGTGGCGATTAAGGAACTCCACACCATTACCGATCGATTTGAAAGAGTTGGGCGAGGAAAAGATGAATTGAAGGGCTCAAAATCCAATTCCAAAACAAAGTTTCCATTTGAACTGCAAAACAAGGCCCAAAAAAATTGTTAGAAAAATTAACGAGCTTGAATAAACATATCAAATGAACTCCACAGTGTACATATCTTACCTTCCATCAACAAGCTCTTCCTTGAAGTGAAGATACTGAGCAACAGAGAGCTCTTCAACAACAAGGGCGTGAACATTCACTCTAATGTACTCCCAAACACCAGGCCCCGGACGAACAGCAAGTGCAACCCATGGAGGCAACACGATCGCTTCCTATTAATACAAGAAAATGAACATGATCATGATCAAGATTCTGTAACCAAAAGAAAATGGGGGGAATGGTTTATTTTACCTGACTAGCCTTCAATATCTCATAAAATGCACCATCAACGAGCTTCTTCCTGTTTTCTTCAGAGACAGCTTCAAACTCCAGAATGATCTGATGGTGTTGCAGAATTCCTTTTCCTTTACCCTCGATCCTACGATAAAATATAACAACCATATAACCAAATAAAAACATTCCGAAAAGAAGAAAAAAAACATGCAGAGCAAATCTGAAAGTAATCTTTGAAATTACCTCGAGAGCAAGGCCAAAATCTCGTTCCTATGAGCAACAAGGGTCTCATCCAAACGCTCACGGAGACTGTGGACGCGGGTAAGGGCACGCTCAGCCATTTCTTCGAACTGAAAAACAAGGAGAGAAAACAGAGTAAGTGTAAAAAGAAAGTAAATGAAAGATTATCCTACTGATCAAAACTGTAAATGGAGAGGATAAACACCAAAAACCCAACATAATTCTAGAAGACTACAAGATTTTCCAAACCTACCACCATAACCCACCAACCACAAGGAAATATATGTAGTGTTAATCAAACTATGTTTACAGTCCAACTAAGTTTCATATCATATGAGATCCTTTTTTTTATTTAGATCTTAATGCAGCTCAAAGAAAATCGTTCATAACTTTGAGTGGATCATACGGCACTGTTTTTCTAGATAAATCTGGGTCGAACCCCCACCCCACCCGTTCAACCTAAACAGCCATGGTTGCATTTTGGCAGAGTTTTATTTCTTCAACATGGAAATTTTGCGAGCAAAATGACCAGAAAAACAGAACCCCAGAAGCTCAAAACAAGAGCAGCTAAACTATAAAGAACATATCAAACATAAAAAGTAAACTAAGTGAACTAAAGAGAGAATGAAAAGGAACAGATAAAGCACCTAAACAAAAAATAAGGGGAGGGGTTTAACGCAAAACGCAATGGAGAAAGCTGGAGTTTGAGATGGAATTTATAGAAGGAAGGGCAGATAAATTATGGTAAAAGTAAAAATGGCATCGATTTAGAAATAAATTCAAGAAATTAAAGTAACTGCGGTAAAAAAGAATATTAAAATATAACAAAAGTGTAAGAATCTGATGATTTTGAAAGAAACTTCATGAGCATGTTGGTAATTCCGAGATTAGTTTTAAAGTTGACGAGACGTCAAATGTCCCGGAAAGAAAGCAGATTAAATTAAATCAGAGGAACCAGGAAAGACAAGAAACCGCTAGTTGGACCAAAAACAAAAGAAAATCCCCTAAATTAACAAAAGAGTTAAAATGTCTATTTTTATTTTTATAAAAAATATTCTTTAAAATAGTATGGTCAAATATAATGTAACATTTCTTTATAATTTTTAAGAAGACAATGCATATATATCTTACCGTTTCAATTAAAACTTTTTGAGGGAATAATATTTTGTATTACTAAAATTATTCATCACATTAAATTTTAGTAAAAACGTGGGTTAAATTATT